GCAGACGCGGTCATGATGTATGCGCTACATCCGGGTTTACATCACAATGTATGCATGCAGGATGTGAGGGATAAAGTCGAGCTCCGTCATGATTCTGCTGGAAACATTGGAAGGAGACCGGCCGGGTCAGCTCGCTTGTTGTCAAAAGGATTACCGGTAGTCTGACTTGTCAGATAGACTTCATGTTTTTCTCCTTTCTTCCCTCCTAATTTTGCTGCTGTAATTTGCGAATTTCTCCATTGTGGGACAAATAAAGGTTTTATTATCTTATCTTAGCATTGTTTGGTTCAAATTCATTTCTTCAAAAAGTCCCACTGTGCCTTTGGACGGCTTCTTGAAAGCATCTCCTACGTGGCTACCGGCCCACTTTAAAAGCCATCAAAGACGTCTCGAATGGACTTTTTGGGCTTAAGAATTCAACGCTGCTCAAATGATAAACACTTTGCGAGACTATTCGTGCGGTGGTGGTGGGAATATTTTCTATTTGCTTTTTTCCATTGGTCACGGATGCTGCAATCAAGCAGCGACCGCTCTGGATCAAAAATAGAACATCAATAAGAAAGCAAGGCTACAGTTTTATTCACACGCGGTTACCGTAAGCTTTCTATGTTGACATAGGAAGAGCTCAGAGTGAGCAAACAAACCGGACCTCCCCCCAACCCCCTCCCAATACGCTATTCCATAAGTAACACATTACAATGGAAATGTGGGAACAGGATCCGACATCTGCGTCTCATCCAGACACAGATGATAGCCATGAAATCTGACGACGCTCCGGGCATTGCCGAGAAGCCAACATTCTTGGAGCTGCTGGGGAGATTTACAAGAGTTTATCCATATCCAGTCTCAATGTGCGCCGCTCACGGCCATTTACATAACACGCGTGTATTCCACATGGAAATCATAGAAGCCATCATGCTGGAAGACATTTAAAAATCCCAGCGGAATATTGTGCCTGCATCTTGATACTGTACGGAGGTTCCTTACGCCCTGACCCGTAGTCCCACCATACCTACTGACCGAACATGGAGAACACACAAACACATTTTTGAAACATGCCGATAATTTTGAGGCTAATTCATCAAACCCAGATGTCTGTTCCAAGGTGGCAAAAGCATTCAAACTCGTACCGTACGGGTTCTTGTGTAAAAGGAGAAATATTAATTCCAAGTACAGACTGAAATGTACTGCAGTGAGCAAAAGTAAAAAAGAATTATTATTATTATTATTATTATTATTATTGTTATTAATTTTTTTTACACTTACTTAACTTGAGCACAATGACATTGTCAGCTCACCGTCACTTGAGTGACAAGACTCACACTCACACCTGGGGACAATTTAGAGTGTTCCAATAACCTGTAAATCGTGTTTTAGGAATGTGGGAGGAAACAGGAGTACCTGGAGAAAACCCACGCAGCCCCGGGAAGAACATCCAAACTTCACACAGGAAAGCCGGGGCCAGATTCGAACCCTGGATGTCTGCCCTGTGGGGCTAACCTGTTGTCAGCTTGCCACGCCATGTTTTTGGGATGTGCGAGGAAACCGGAATACCCGGAGAAAACCCATGCAAGCCCCGGGAGAACATGCAAACTCCATACAGGGAGGCCGGAGCTAGAATTGAACCCGGTACCTCTGTAGTGTGAGGTCAACGCGCTAACCACTGGACCATCGGGCCGCCCCAGTTCAAATGCCCCATATAGCCGTCTCTCTCACATCACTTCACTCTAGTGCCAGCTCTCCTTATCTCCTCCAGGAGGCGTTCTTTGAGGTGACGACAGCCACAAAATAAATACTTTCCTCAAGTCGACACACACATTGCGATAACCTTCCCACGCTGAGTCCCACGGTCATGTTCTTGACAGAACTTTATATTGTTCTGGAAGTGAATTTCTACAGGCGGGCAGCTTGGGGATGCTGGTGGCTCTGCAGGCAACATCCAGGGGTCAACCAATGCAACGTGTGAGCTCAGGTGCCAGTGTGCGCATTGAAAAATGAGATGTGTCACCCTCCCGCGCTCGGAAAAAAAAAGAATACTACATTTGCTGTGAAAAACGGAAAAGCAATTATTGTTTTTGAGTCGACAAAATTGGCAAGCCAATGTGCCAGGCTTTTGGCAAGCTACTTGCAGTTATAAAAAAAAAACAACAACAACAAAAAACTTCGTGTGATTACAGTGCTAAAGGCACTACATTGGACATGTTTTGAAAGGCGGCAACTGTTAAAAAGAGCCCCTCAAACACAGCACACAAATACTCTTATTAGTCGAAGGATCACGCTTATTTTGTGCTGTTCCAATTTTTTTTCCAATTTAAAGCCATTTTCACTGTGTTGAAAACGTTTATCGAATGCGCCAGATGATTTCACAAGAATTATTATGTTCAAATCAAAACTGTCATACTTGGACCTGGGAACCAAAAAGTCCAATTGAAAATCTTTTCAAATGTCATTTTTGAGAGAAAAAAAGAGTAAATCCAAACTTATAAGGTCTGGAAAATTGGAACCTCTTTTTGAGTGTGTGTGTGTGTGTGTGTGTGTGTGTGTGTGTGTGTGAGACGTATGTATGTATGTATGTATGTATGTATGTATGTATGTATGTATGTATGTATGTATGTATGTACTTACGTATGTGTATATATGAGTACTGTATACATTGTATACATGTATTAATAGGTGAAAAAGTTGCCCCCGCTTTAGTGCTTCTGAAGAAAATTGCAAGTAAGGACATATTTGAGAGCGTGCATACCTCACTAAAGACAGCAAATCTGCATTTGATTGAATAATACCACAAAAGTGGATAATGCTCGTGCACAATAACACCGCACAGGATTTGGTTGTGTAGACAGATGTTCCCTCATCATGTGTGTGTTTACAAACTACTGATCCTCTTAATCAATTGTTTTGTCTTCATGGTAAATTGGCCGAAAATACAATTTGTAGTGACCAATTGTTTCGTGCATGCCCGGGGTGGCCAATTTTAACATGCTAACTTTAATTTTGCACTCTAACTTTATAAGGTTTACTTTTATGGCACACCTGTTATTTTGTTGATTTAATTGTTTCCTTCTCACTTCATTAGTGTTACATAATGTGGATAGTTTTTTCATGATGCTCTAAATGAATATCTGCTGTGGTTGCAAACGTTTATGGATAAAATCCAGTAATCAGTTTGAGTCCTCAATGGGAAAAAGTATGAAAATCTAATCTTGACAGCAGAAGCATCTGGTTCATTTGTTTAAACTTATCAAAATACATTCATCCATCCATTGTCTAATCCGCTTTTTCCACATGAGGGTCACAGTCGTGCTGGAGCCTATCCCAGCTGTCTTCGGCCAGTCGACGGTGTTCACCCTGAACTGGTTCCCAGCCAATTGCCAGGCACACATAGACACATACAAAAACCATTCACGCTCACAATCGCACTTGGGGACAATTTAGAGTGTTCCAAAAACCTGCCGTGCATGTTTTTGGAATGTGGGAGGAAACCGGAGTACCTAGGGAAAACCCACGCAGGCACGGGGAGAAGATGCAAACTTCACACAGGAAGTCCAGAGCCAGAATCGAACCCTGCACCTCTGCACTGTGAGGCCGATGTGCTAACCGGTTGTCCACCGTGCCACCTTAAATCTATCAACATACACCACAAATATAAATGTAATTTAACCCAAATTAAGTGTATTTAAGATGAGAAATTTAGTCGAAATGATCCTATCCTTGATCTGAAACATGAAGAAAATATGTTTTCTTTCAGTTTGGACAAAGTGACAATGTAGATTTCCAACCTATCAAATCATTCATGAAAACAGCCTTATATCAGCTAAAAAACATCCAGACGGAAGGGTCGCCTGTCCCAAACAGACCAAGAGAAACTTATTCTATGCTTTTATCTTCAACAGACTTGACTGACTTGATCTTCCTAATGGACTCCCTCGAAGGGTATCATACAGCTGCAGCTCATTCAGAACGTTGCAGTTTGAGTTCTGACAGTGATCATCCTTGTGGGAAACTTGAAGAATCTTCGTTTGTAGCTAAATCAGAATCTAAATGTAATGCAAATTAAATAAATCTATGTTTATGTCAGTAGATTTTATTTGTTATTATGATCTTTAAAAAAAATGCTTATGAGTAGTGTTATGGAAGTGATTTCGGTGTCGTCGGAGGACAATGTCTCCATCTGGAGAGCAGGATGGGAGCTGCGTCCTAAGTCTGCTGCATTTAAACTGCCTTTATATACAGTATATGAGCTAGAGACAGCCCTCTCTTTAGTGTGATACTGCATATATTTTTATTGTCCTTTTTTTGTATATTGTTATGTTCAATTGTCAAAGGTTCTATTTGTATTTACGTACAGTTCTTTATTTCAGATGTGGTTTTATTAAAGTCCTCTACAAATCAGTTAGGTCACTTGAGTTGAATCTATATTATCCTTATATACGATATAAAATACAAATTTGCACCAATCAATAAAACACATGTTTTAAAATGTATAAAAGCTATAGATGTCGCTTGGCAATACATAATTGTTCTATTTAGTCAGCAGTGAGATGGCAAAATGGTTGAAAAATCTACGTGTGGTTGCAGACAAACAATATGACAATGTCCCCCGATGTATTCTTTAATTAATGCTTGTGCAAGGATAAGAGTTACAAAAAAACATCTACAGACTAGAGATGATAATATATCCTGTTCCTATTATACATTGTTATTTATACAAGTCATCATTTCAACAGCATTTACGTATTCGATCAAACGTACCTGTTACACTTGAAAAGATATCGTGATCATCCTTGTGTGACGGACGACGAAGCGTCAACGGGCTCATCTAAGGAAAAACCGTGTGTGATCTATGACGACACAGCCCCAAGTTTTATTGATGCGCTAGTATCAAGTTTCTAGTAAAAGAAAAAAAAAGAAACAACATTAACGCAGCACAATTCCCGCAAGTGTTTTAAGTGCGTTAGTTCATTGCAGGAAGTCGACTAGTTTGCTGATTTTTTTCCTTCTAGTATATATTATTGAAATATGATTTTGCTATTTCCTTCATTTTCTATGTAAAAGTTACAGAAATGCCGTGTGTGGTTAACCCTTTACAAAGTGCCAATGTTCTTGAGATGTTTCTAATAAATACCTTAAGCAAACACACACACACACACGTTTTGATTGTGCTCGGTCGGTCCATCCAAAGGTAAAGATAGCAGCCCACTGGTGCTAACATGCTATCACACTGTTTGCTGAGATGGTAAAACTGGCGTAAAACAAATGGTAACTTTTGTGCTTCAGATGCTGAAATTGGCAATGTACAGTATGAGTGGCACTCACATTTACATTGTACAGGATTTCCTCAAATAGCGGCCAGGGGAATTCATTGACTCAACTGCGAAGTACGAGACGTTGATTCAACTCAGCAACTATAACGACCAAGTGGCATGTCATGAAAAAAAATGACACTCCCGGTTGAAAGGACAATGGCCCCAACCCACCTTTTGTTGTTGTTTTTTTGGTTACATTTTTATTTAATCACGACTGCTAGCGTTGCGTACTATGCTAGGCTGTCATGTTTTTTCTATGGAGCTGATGTGCCAGCTGCTCGGGGAAAGGAGTTCACGTCTTCAGGTGGGACTAATTGAAGCACATCTATTAAAATGGAGGCCACTATTTGAGGAGTGTCAGTACGCATCCGTCTTGAGTTAATAAAGGCTTAAAAGCAGTCTGCTCGATCAATGTAGCCCATTTGTTTTTCCAAAGATTTGTGTGTGTGTGTGTGTGTGTAAAATTCTATTCAGCTGCCATCCACATGGTCTTACCGGTTAAATATTTCTTACTAACACTGGAGGGAGCCACAATTCAAATCCACCACAGCATTTATAATATGCAGCAACCTCATTGCAAGTCAAAGTTCCAGCCACCTTCATTTAAACCGTGCAGTTGTTTTGTTGAGCCACACACTGGCTAGTAGGGATGTTCCGATCACTTGACTGGAATTTGGCCCAATCACGTGATTTTTAAACCGATTAGGGATAGGAGAGAAAAGATTGGGTTTTTTTTCTTTACTTCATTTTACGAAATTTACAAGGTCACTAAGTGACCAATTAATCCAAAGCAATACAAATCTTGTCAAATGGAAAGGTAATAGCGTACATGACAAAATGTTTTGCGGTTTATGCAGTTTGCAAAAAGCAAATGGCAAATCGTTCCATCTTAAAATCGTTCCATCCTTAAGCCGTCGTATTGAAAATTGAATCGAATCGTCTTTTGTGGAGAGATGTACACCTCTATTAATATCATGTAACATATGTACGCATTTAGATATATCTAAATGCATGTTTGTATGTATATTTCTATATTTAGATTTGGATGCATGCTCTTTTTTTCCCCCTCAATGCATTGCCGAGGTAACAGATCAGGACTCTGTATCGGCAGATACTTAAAACCAAAGAATCAAAAAAAAAGTGCAATCGGGACATCCCTACGAGCTCCCTTTAATTCAATCGGTACATCGTGAAGAGTTTGACAGACAACCGATTGGTGTGCCATTTCTTTGCCTCACACTGGCGAGGGCAGAAAAGTCTCAGCTCACAGCATGCGTGTACCCTCATAAAAGTCACTGACGTGATCCATATTATTGGGGAACAAAAGGATTTTCCAGTGCATCCATTTTAAATTCCACATCTATGCTATAGAATTGTACTATTTGACTGCTTAAGTCAAGGTGTGAGTGGAAATTTGTCAAAAACCAGCAGTTGGAGTGACCAACTACAGATTTAGTGCCGTTTCAGTTGAGTGAGGGCGACCGGATGCTCGTTCGCAATTCTTCATTTGTGTCTGACCGCTGCTCCTACACGTGACCCTGTTTGTCTGAGGAGGAGGACGAAGCGGACGGTGAAGGGGAAGGAGCTTTAGGAAAAACCCTGTCCGTGGGAGTCATGCCCGGACTGCCCAGACCTGATGAACTGGAGCTGCTGGATCGGTGCGGCCCCTGAGTGAGTACGGGAGCCGGCCGGACCGGTCTGACGGGTGGCGGCCTGACAGGCGCGTTGGGCCTGCGCACCGCCAGGGCGGGCTTGAACGTGGTCATGGTTTCAGAGGAGGAGCTACTGCTGCTTCGCCGCTGGGCCGCCTCGGGATCTCTGATGACCATGGTGTGCAGGGGGCTTCCGGGGACGTCCTGGCCGCCGCCGGGGTGTTTGAGAGGTTCCAGCGTGTCCAGGACAACGTCAGGAGCGTGTTTGGCAACATTCTGTCGCTCCAGCTCACACAGCTCATGGAGGGCTGTGTTCATTGTTTTCTCAATGTCCTGACAAACGAGGTTGAGGGACAAAATAATGCAAATATTTAGAAACCGATGTCAGCAGGCGGTAGGGCTGAACAGTTAATCAAAGTCAAATCGACATCGCAATGTAGTAGCATGCAATTTTCAACCATTCAGCGTTAGCAGGAGGCTTGATTTAAATTAATAACGTTCCAGGGTTTCTCAAACCTTTCGAATCCAGGGACTCCCTAGATCGGAGAGAGACGGACAATCCGTTAGTAGCTATCACCACTCACCTCAGCGAGCGCTTCCGTCTCCAGGGCTTTGTGGTCTCCCACGTTGGCGTGCCGAGTGGTGACGGGAGACGAGCGCTGAGGGTGTCCGGCGGCCCCAAAGGAGGCGAGTCGCCGCTTCTCCGGACTGTCTGTCGGGCCCCTGCTCATGGCAATTTTGTGAGGGCTGCAGGGCCGAGGCGCAACCCTCGGGGGCCCGTCGGCGGTTCTGGTGGGGCTGTGGCCGTCGCCGTTCCTGTGGCGTTGAAGCGGCACTCCATCCGGCCGCAGTTTAACCCTAGAAGGGTTCATTTGAAATCGGTTCATGGCTCTGGTTTTGTGTGGTACCGCACACGCATAGACAAGTGGGCCAAATTTTTCCCATCTAGCGAGCGGTGTCAGCAAAAGCTCGAGAACAGTTGGGCCAACAATCACAAATGTTATGTAATATTTACGATCACAAATTGCGATGTGGTCAACACCGAGTTCCGCCAATGCACTGACTGTGCGTGACTGTGACGTGAAATGTAACCGCAGCCAATGAGGAAGTGACATGATGCTGTTGACTCACAAGGTATTCACCAGTAAAAATAACAAAAGGGAGAGTTCACAAACACAATGGTGCAAACAATTAGCTTAGCTTTTTCTACTTCAGTGACAAATCTTTGTATTTTCCAGCAGTCCGGATGGCCTCCGGGAGTACGGTTAGTCTCCCAAGTCAGTTTTGGTACGATAGCATGTTCTGAGAGTGTTGTTGTTTGGTCATCTCAAGTACGCCACAGACTATAACAGAAGTACTTTTTTCTAATTTTAACTCACCTTCCCATCGGTGCCCCATAGCGATGTTCCGGAGGGTGTTCAGAAAAAGACTGGTGCTCATGCCTGGTTGACGATCGATCCTCGTGATATCCGCTGCTGCTCTCACTGTCAGTCCTTTGTATGCTTTCTGAGAATGCATCATCCCTGTTTCCCCCCAAAAAATAAAAGCAAACACATTGCTTTTTCCTCTTAAGATCTCTTAAGCACAGTATCATTTTGTTAAGTTGTGAACTGTTACAACTATTTTCTTCAAGAACCCCAAAAATGCTATACAGCCGGTCACTTGCACATCATCCTGTATGTCTGGATTAATAATCCTTTTTTTTCACGGTGGATTCAATGAAGCAAAAACATTTTACGTACATGTCCTGCACCACAATGTACTGGTGCGGGATGAGGCCGTCCACCCCGTTGTGTCGACCCTCCCACCAGTCCTCAGAAGCTCGTAGGTAAAGTAACAGCGAGGCTCCTTTCTTGAAGGAAAGCTCTCTGGGAGTTCGGCCCACATAGTCAAACTTCGCGATGGCTTCTATCTGCTCCAGCTCTGCCAAAAAACAAGTAGTTCAACCAGATCAGATCTAATACTAATAGGATGAATGATAAACTGAACTGTGTGTGTGTGTGTGTGTGTGTGTGTGTGTGTGTGTGTGTGTGTG